ATAAGCAGCTGAGTAAGTAACACATGGGAGATTGTGTGTGAGAGTGTATGTGTTAGAAGGATTTCTGGGGCCCAGCTGGTGGTAAAACAGTCCAAATTGCAAGTAATATCCTCTCTGCTTGTCTAGATGATGACTCTGGTGACCTTGTTTAAGAAAGAAAATACATTTTCAAGGGGGTATTGTAGAAGGGGCTTGTTTGACTCTGGGGTGGCTTTGTAAGATTTTCTGTTTTTATCACTTTGCTGGGACCTGTGCTGGCGTGTGGACTGAAAACCTGGGATTTGAGTCTAAGCTCTGCTACTCATGAACTCTGTGTCTTTGAGAAAGCACCTTATCACCTTCTGAGCCTCACTTTCTTCATCTGGGTAAGAAGATAGTTCTTGTCCTACCTGTCTCTTACAACATGTCATCTTGGCATCAAAGAGAGAACACACATGTCAGTGATTGTCAGTGGTTTTCATGGATTCTCCAGTGAGATTTTCACTATGACAGTGTGTTGATAGTCATAATTCAAAACTATAGGGGAAACAGAAGGTAAGTACATTTTCATAAGGACTTCAGTGACCCTCCTGGGAAGAAAGGGACCAAAATTTCATTCCCCTCTCCTTGTCATTTCAGGTTATAGACCACCGGGTGGGTTGGGTAATCCACTGTCGTAGGAGTATAAAAAGGCCTCTATAAAAGCACTCAGGATAGAAAGACATGCTGGATGTGAGTAGTGGTGTTGGATGTTGACTTGTTCCAAAAAAGTAAAGGATTTAGTTTGAACAAATGGTTTGATAGGTGACTCTAAAGCAATGGCAGTTGGGAGTCCATCTCACTTTTTTTTTTTTTTTTAACCTGAGCCATCCTGCCACCTGTTGGCAGCTCAGCAGCAGCTCAGCTCGGGCCGGGACTCAAACCAGCGACCCTGTTGCTCAGAGCTCGCACTCTTGAGCGAGCTCTTAACCAACTGAGCCACTCAGCCAGCCCTTACATCTCACTTTTTGTTGGGAGCACCCACAGCTGAGATCACACTGAGTAGGGCATCCTCCTTTTAGCCTGAGGATCCATGTTGCTTAGACAGGAGTTTGCACTCTGTTTAGTGGGAGAGTAGAGTGGTTCTCAACACTGTGAGTTACCCTCTTAACATAAGAAATATGTTGACATGGCTCTTCTCTATCCTGAAATGAAAATCATAGATAATATCACATGTATGCATACATAATCTGCAAAAATTAATCAAAATACTGCCCTAAGTATAGGAAAAAGAAATGGAAAACAATTTTGAATCAAGCAATATGACCCAGCCCCACTAGAAGACACGATGCAGCAGTCAGATATTGCACATGTAGAGTCTCTGTAAACACAATGCCACATAGTCCAACTGATAGAGGTATAGTGGGCTGCAGACTCATATCACCGTGATATAGCTGTTAGTGACATGATTTTCTGATAGGGTGAGCCACATTATTTGTTCCAAAGAAAATAAACAGTAATCTTTCCTTTATTAGACACGGTAGCTGTATTCTTGGTGGATGTTAAAGCTATGCGAAGGTATTTTGTGCTTATATATAGAACAGAATCAGGGGCTAGGCTCAGCTCATTATAAACAGGGAGAAATCCTTAATGCCTGGTGGTCCCTGGCCCTGCCCACTAAAAGTCAGCAACATACCATCATTGTGACCAAAAAAAGGTGCCCATCTGGTTCCAAAACACCCTCCAGAGGTGGTACTATTCTCATGAAGAGGCCCAGCTTTCCCCACACTGCTCTGGACACAGCTGGACGTGACCACGCCTTCACTGGAAAATCTTTTCGAACTTCATAGGACACCAGTTAGTCAACTTGGCTGCCATAACAAAATATCAAAACGGTGTGGCTTAAACACCAGGAATTTATTTTTCACAATTCTGGAAGTTGGAAATTCCAAGATCAAGGTGCCAACTGAGCTGGTTCCTGGTGAGGGCTCTCCTCCTTGCTTGCAGATGGATGACTTCTTGCTGTGTCCTCAAGTGACAGAGAAAGAGAGAGAGCATTCAGGTTTCTCTTCCTCTTCCTATAAGGACACTGATGCCATCATGGGAGTCCCACACTCATGACTTCCACTAAGCAAAATTACTTCCCAAGATCTCACCTCCAGGGCTTCAGCATATGAACTTTGGGTGATAGGGCACAAACATTCAATCTACAGCACCAAGTTTCTGGCCCACCTTTATTTTCGAAAGCAACCATCTTCTGTTGGAAGCTATTCTGGTCTTCTGGGATCAAAGGAGCACATCTGAGCTCTGGCTCTAGGAGCTAACAGGGAGCAAGGACAAACAGACCTTTGGTCCACGAGAAAATACCTGAAGAGTTCTTAGATCTCCTGAAGTGGGTAAACCTTGGAGAGAGAATTTAGATTTTCTGTTCCTCTGGAGAAGTAGAATCCCAACCATGTCATGTTTAGGAGTGTATATCTGGAAGTCGGACAGATCGGAGTTTGAAACCTGTTTCTGTCACCTGGTAGTTGTGTGACCCTGGAAAAGTCACTCGGTAGTCTGAGTTTCAGCTTGAAATTGGGATAAACTTACCCTTGAAGGTTGGTGGTGAGTCGTAGTCTGGTCTTTTGACAAGAGCTTTGCAGGGTTCCAGGCACATGGTAAGAGCTCACTCTATCTAATTACTGTTGCTTTTGTTAATACAGTCATCCTTTGAGGATTTATTTTTTGTAGGGGAAGGGCATTAGTCACAACCGAGGCAATACAGAGCAACCCTTCTATTTGAAGAAGATATGCATTAAGTGTAGTTTCTTAAATTGTGGTATTTTTCTGCTGGCCAGATTCTGTGGTAAAATTCTACTTTCTCCAGGGACTGAAGTGTGACTATCAAGTGAAGAGACTAACCTTTTTTCTTTTTAATCATATGTAGCTTAGAGAAATCAATCCTGATGTGTATGATGGCTTTGTTCTCCGACAGGTTCAACAGCCAGGGGAGGGAATCTGTCAGTAGGTTGTCTTAGACACTCCCTTTTGTAGTAAAAGACTGTTTCTTCTGAGGAAATTCAACCAAATGTGACTTTAGCCATCTAAAATTTTCCTTTCTCAGTAAATGAGTGCAAGTATCTGAAAAGACACAATGAAATTAGAACTTTTCAATTGATTTAATTAAGCAGCTGGTATTAATGAGAGGATGTGTTTTGCCTGCAGTTATGAATCCTCTTCCATTACCTAGTATTCAGTTAATGAAAGGAAACAATCAATACATGTTTGGAATATCCTCTCCAACCTTGAAAATTTTATAAGCTGCTAGTTTTACTACTGGATATGAAAGTCTTATAAACGTAAAGAACTCCAGCTTTCTTTCTTATATCAAAAGGGAATGGGCTTTTGTGCTTCTAACACAACGAGTAGGCAATCACCAGGTAGTATGTTTACTGCCTATGCTTTTATTTCAGAAATGTAAATGCAGTATAGGTCTCTATCATAGAAAAGGTCCATTTTCTGACAGATTGATTCAGAATTTCACTGTAAGGTGAACTCTTGTTTTCTCATTGGCTTCTATTTTAAAGCCAGAGGAACACTGCCATGCTGGACTATATGAAAGAATTCAAAATATCTGATGAGAAGTTCAGATGGGTATTAGGTCCCTGGAATTCTGGGGACACCTATGGAATTCACCTGTTGACTGCAGTTCTCTCCTTTGGAGCCTTGGCAGCACTGTTCCTAGAGGGACTTCTTTGGTCTTTCCCTGGGTCCTGAGAATTTCTGTCTCTATCCATGGTTTCTAGAACTCCTTCAGTGTTCCTTTAGTTTGGGTACTGGTAAGTACCTCTGTAGATCTGGGTTCTGGTATCAGTTTACCACTGGGTTTACTGATAGCATCATGGAGACTTTCAACATAAACGTTTCCTCCTTGTCCCCCTTCTACCCCATGGAGCCCCCCTTTCCTCTCATTGCCCCTCTAGTCCTATCCTTCTCATTTCTAATGTCCCTTGTCCTTCCTCTCTTCCTCTTAGCATGTTTTTGGTTTCTTCTTTTTCTTTTGATACATTAAAAAAATTATACCAGAGCACAGGCAATAATATACAAATGACTCATTTCCACTATGCAAAATTTATAACTAACATTTTAAACTTCAAATTTGATACTTTTACATAAAGTGAAGCATTACAGGTAAAGTTGAAGTTCTTTAATGCCCTGGTCCCATATTTTTTCTTGCCCTTCCTAGAGGTAACTCCCATCAAGTGTGTATCTCATTAGGCCAGGGACTCATCTGACGGCCCCTCTTTGTCTGCACAACCATGTTAACTGGAGCCCCAGAGAAGGCTTTGGGCCATTGCTTTATTACGTGTCAATGGGGGCTGTGTGCTAGATGGGGGCTGTGGCTATTCCAGAAGCAAATTTAATAAACATTCACTCTTACCCAAATTGTATAGGAAAATAAACAGATTGAATGGCCTGTGGGGTAAACTTGTGAGGCAGAATCAAGTGCAGGAGACTTCAACAGATGCAGCCAGGTCCTTTCAAGCCACAGGAGCTGTACTTGTTGGAGTTCTGTCTCCCTGGTCTCCCATCTGTAGAAGCAGCTAGAACTTTAGTGACTGCTCCTAATTCTTCTTTCTTTTCCAGGAAACCTAACTTGGGTATTTAGCATTCCTGACTACATTCTTTATTGTTCTCCTGGCTTCTTATGGACTGTGAGTCCACATTCCTAACCTTGGCCTCATGGCTGTTTCCTGGTTCCCTGGTTGCATGATGGTTTGGTATTTGATGCTCTTAATTCTAACACTATCCCCAAGCTCTGCTTAATTTAGTTGGAGAAGCTCAGTAATGGGCTTTTAATAGACTCTTCATCCTAACCCACTAGAGCAGCGGTTCTCAACCTTTCACAGGGGTCGCCTAAGACCATCGGAAAACACATATTTTCGATGGTCTTAGGAACCAAGACACCGCTCCTCTATCCGTCTCCAGGTCCACATGCAGATACGCCCACATATGAGTACCCAGCGACCCCTGTGAAAGGGTCGTTTGACCCCCCCAAAGGGGTCACGACCCACAGGTTGAGAACCGCTGCACTAGAGCATGCTAAGAGGTAGAAAGAGGCTGGTAATCTACCTGGCTAAGATGTAACTTTGCCCCTAGCTTGGTTCCATGACTGCCAACTCTCAAGTCCTTGGGGATAAGTGGGGACCCAGAAAGCAAGGTACCAAAACTTTGCAGTGTCAGGGATCCTGAAGCCAGAGCTGTCAAGATCAACTTTAATGGGCAGCACGCAGCCCACCAAACATCTTAGAGGGAGCGAACACATGCAGAAACCGGCCATGGTGGCAAGGTTCTCGTCTAGGTCTCCTTCGGTATTGAATCTGAGACTGAAGCCTCTTCTTTCCAGGGCTCCATGGATTGCTGACAGTGACGTGGAGAGCGAGACACAGTGCTGGACTAATGCTAGGTGTACGGAGGGTACCTTCTCACTCGCTTCGCCACTTTCGGTATATGTGAAGCGGTCAATTCACAAGCTTCTTTATGAGCTTCCTGCGGCCGTGCTATACGCACCCTTCTCCCTCCAGCTTCTTTCAATTAATTTTTTCCTTCTCTTTTTGCTTTGACTTACAGGTCAGTTTGGCTTACTCTCTCATACTGTATCTAGTTAACTTGTCCTCTCAGCTGGTGAGTTGTAGTGGCGCATAAATGGGGAAATGGAAAATATTGATCAGCCTTGTATAAAGCCTGCCAAAGTTTTTCATCATCCCTTCTCACGTTCATCAAATACCAGGGAAATAATATGGTGAGTAATAGATTCCAAAAAATGCCTGTGATTCAGGACTCGTGCTGTAGATTGTACGTGCTCTGGGGGGGGGGGAATTCTACTTGGAGTCTATAAAAATGTAATATTGAAGAACAACTCTGTATTTTTACATATACCATTTTTAGTGTTAATTGGTCTCATAACTACCCCCGTCTCCCCTCCCCCCCCCCGCCCCCCAGTGACTAAACTTGTGGTCCATAAGGAAGAGTAATCGATCCACTTTTTCTCTGTGCTATCGCACCATCTCTAGTCAAGATTAAGTTTCGGTGTTTGAGGATCCTCTTACCTTTTCCATGCTTTGTAAGAAAAACAAACCAAAAACATTGAACAATGCAAAACAAAACTTGCCTCATCCTGCTAGAAATTAGACATGCTCAAGATTCGAATCACCAGCCAGGCTTCTCAGTGAGTGCCTCTTCCTGACAGCAGCGAGAATATTGGATCCACTGACACCGGGGCATCTGGCTGTCTGGATTCTAATGCTAGCTCCAGAATTTACCAGCTAGGGCACAGCAGACAAATCATCTAATCCCTCTGAACCTTGGTTTTCTGTTGTGTGAAGTAGGAGTTAAAGAAACAAGCTTTTCAGGCTGGCCAAGTGGCACGATGGTTAAGAACTGGCTTGGGACGCCAGAGGGCCCTGGTTCGGATCCCACATATGAGGGCCAGTGACACTGCCCTCCACAGCTAAGATG